TCAAAATTTACAGCAGGGCATGCAAATTCAGTCAGTTTTTGGCCAGACAAAAACTGCAAGCAAGCTGAATGTAAATGTAAGTCTCTGTAAATCCACTCGCTTGACAGCAGGTGGCGCTTATGGAAAAGCTGAATTAGAGCTGTTTCCCGTAACCTTTGGACAAAGCAGTATTGCGATTAAGAACACTTCCTTTTAGGTATTACATGGAGCGAAGATGAAAACAAAATGCCATCGAATCGTTTCTGAAGACAGTTAGAACCTTCAGAGGTACATTCATATAATTAATTCATTCATATTTTCATTTGTATAATTCCCTTAGCACTCTTTTAAAACCTCCCAGCTTTTCTACCTTGTTTTCACTCAAAACGAAACTACTCTGCTGCTGTGCGCACGTGAGACTGTTACTGAAAACTGTGCTTTATGCTGGACAGTATTTATTTATCGTGAGGTGTTCAAATCGCGGTATTCTAATACGGTTTGAATGATAATTAAAAGATGAAACGGTAATACTAACCGTGGGGAATTTTATCATGATTTATCATCAATCCGGTAATCGTTACATCCCTAGTGGGCACTGAAGGAAATTTAAAGACTGACGGATTTACAGTTTAACGTACCTTTAACTCACTTTCACGATGCCTACATAAACCTAATTGTCATAAGGAAAACTTGATGGTAGCGCGTTTGTAACGCAGTTCACACTTAAGCCTATGGCGAATGGAAGTTTTTAAACGCGCTCTAATTTCAGAGTAAGGCATTAGATAAAGTCAATAAAATGACTGGTAAATGTTCCTCGTTATGCAAGCTCTGTCTGCAGAGAGACTGCTCGTTTGCAGCGGGCGAGACGGACACTTCAACACGGTGTTATGCGTCACAAAAACTAAATAGTTAGCGCGTAATGTTTAACAGTCCCACTATTACCGTTTCAAAGCATGGAAACTGCGAAATGCCACACTCAATGCTTTCAAAAACAAATATAAATTTACCATTTGATGAATTCTTTCATTTGAGTAGAAAACCGCCCAGTAAAGTTATTTTACACGTAATCACCTTTTTTCAGGAAATCGAACCGAGATGAGAAACTTTCACACTCTTCTGTAACTTAATGTTACTGCACCTCAGGAACTTAACACTAAACCTGACAAAAACACGCGCAGTTAGTAATTTCTAAACGTGTTAACCACCAATCCCATTTTGAGTAAAATTATCAAAAAAACTGTTTTTCCCGTGTACTTTAATAAAGAGAAAAGCAATCCAACTTACCGTCTCGGTCGCTTGAAGAAAAAATGGTGTCATCGCTTCCCGAGGCAGCGGTCATTGAAGCGCGGAGTCCAGACAATTCGGCGGGTTTTTTATTCCGCACTTTCAGTGTAAAAGTGAAATTACACCATATTACACCACTGAACACGAGTACTGTTTAACACTGTAGATTGTTAATTCAACTCTTTGGGAATTAATAACTTTTAACACTGCAAATATTACACTGCTGATTTTACTGTGTATGATATGTGCTAAGATATCATGTGTGGGGTAATATTGACCCCAGGATACATCTCAGAAGATGTCAAAGTTGCTTTGAAGTCAATTTGATCCCAAACACAACAGGAGAGTTAATATATTTACAACAGGGCTTATTGTTCATCCATGTAGCCAAGTAGTGGGTGATCTACAGTTGTAACTGTAAAAGGTTTGTGCTGAGCACAATTAGTGAATAACTATGTAACTGTGCTTCTAGTGTACGCTGATCAACTAAAGCAGAAGAGAAAGGTTATGCCTGTTATTATGACAAAGTGAGGAAGACCTTTCTCTCTGATGAATTCTCAGCTGTTTGGATGCACTACAATGAAAAGGTTTGTTTTTGCATGATTTGAGTCAGCTATGGAATTATATTAAATCAGAAATAATACATACTTATTTTTCAGGATAACCTTGATAAAGCTACATTCCAGGATCAGTTTGATTATCTTCAGAAAAAGATGAAGCTATCTTGCTCCTGTCGTTTTGGGGACATGGTAATAACAACACTTTTTTTATATACAGAGTGTATTAATAAATGTATTCAATTCTCTTTTCTTGTAATTGTCACCAATACAAGATTGAACAGGAATGCGTTCAGATTTGGAATTCATCAGTATTGGGATCTGTTTTTGGTGTTTTTAATCTGACTTTCCTTTAGACAATTGGTAAAAATCCAATCCGTGAGTTTTTGAAAAACACCCCTCGGACAGTTCGACAGACGACTAAAGCTCAGATGTTGGTGTTAACTGATTTAACCTCTAACCACGAAGTCACTTTCAAAATCTTGAAGCACCAAATTGAAACAGAAACTGATGCAGGCAAGAGACAAGTTCTGATCAGAAAATATGAAGCTCTTCATCAGGTTTGCAGTCTATTTATTTAATACAGTACATCATTTATGTAACTAATATCTCAAGCTCAATACTTTAGCTATGTTTTACTGGGTAAGAAAAAAGGTCTTCTATAATCTCATAACCATGAAAAACGTGAGCTTTGAAACTTTGTGTTTCTGTATCCACCAATATTATGTCAAACTACAAATTAACTGAACATTTTCAGTTATTCGGGTATTCAGTTATTGAAATTCACATTGTGTTGCTTGAAGATCCTTAATGTTATTCTAATGTTTTCTTAACAAGATTAATTATTTTGATGTGCTTTCTGATTAAAATACATGAATTGTTATCTTACAGACTAGAGCTCAAATTGAACGAACAGTTGAAGCTATCAAGCGTTGCTTTCCTGGAGCTGTAGTTGAGGATGAACTGGTTGGATATTATAGGTCTGCGAAAGATTTATTTGCTTTTAAAACTGTTGCTGAGCATTTCAGGACAACCTGTTTTAACTGGCACGAGGAAGAGGTGAACAACATAAAGATGACCCTCTCATTGGCTATATGCACATACTCATATTGTCTGTTTGTCTTTTTCTTGTTTGTCTCTCACACAGTTTCTGATCACCTTGTCCTACATGCGTGTATTTGCTCGTCTCTGTACATATGGGTTTGGAGCGGAGAGGTGTGTCTCTACAAGTACAAGATTCTAGAAAAAAACTAAAAAAAATATGTAAAATATATTTGAACAGTTAGTAATTTGACAGTTTCTACAATCATTTCTTAATTGTAATTTAACAGTCATTATAAACTTTTTGGTATTGATATAGAAGATATTGATCTTAAATGTTTTCTTAATTACCAAGTATGTTTTTCTTTGTTGTAGAATCATAGAGGTCATAACAGCAGTCTCCAGTGAAAGCCTCAGTGTGTTCCTATAAACAACATGCTTATGAAAAATCTAATGGCATGTGGAGTAAATCTGCACAAATGAAGTCAGTCTGCCAAAAACACGGCTTTACTACAAGCCAAGCGCTAAACTTCTGTGTATATTCATCTGACTTTTTGACCTAAAATAGCCATGAAGCCAAGAACATATTTTTTAAATAATATACTGAACACATTTACAAGTAAACAATGTAGGTTTGATTTAGTTTATACACAGTTCTATGATTTCAAATGGATGAATATTTTGGAGGGGGCTCTGCCCCACCTACCCTTACGAAAAAGTATACTTCTACTTCATTTTATGAAGTATACTTAAGTAATGTTGAAGTATATTTTAAGTATACTTCAAGTAGTAAGTATACTAACATCTATGTACTAGTAGTATACTTGTAAGTGTACTATTTGAATTCCACTTGGGACTAAATTGGCCCACTTTTTAGTACATAAAAGTATACTTTTAAGTGTACTATAAGAGTAACAGTAGTAAACTTTGCACAACTAGTCCACACTTACGTTTTTCATTTGTACTGCAAGTGAACTTATGAGTATACTAGTAGTTTACTATTTTAATACTTGTAATAAATGACTAGATTATAAAAGTACACTTTGACGTATACTCACTAAACTACAAGTTTACTGGTTTTATACTGCAAGTATACTTGCAGGTGTTCTGTTAGTGCACTCTTAGTTAACTAGTAGTTTACTATTTTTGTACTGCTGGTATACTTGCAAGTGTTCTTTTACTGTACTCTCAGTAAACTACTACTGTACTACTTTTATACTACAACTTTTCTTAAAGTGAACTTAACATCATACTTAGTTTACTACTTATTTATTATTTTTGCACTTTAAGTACACTGCAATGTTCATTTACCTATTAATTTTTATACTTGACATATACCTTTTAATTGTACTTTAAATTTGAAGTAAAATCTTATGTACGCTATCAGTGGACTACACAAAAAATCACATACTCAGAATTACGAACATAAGCGAGAGCAAACCTGAGATTGTTGTCTGTGGACCCCCAGGTGCTGTCTCTGATATCACTATTAATCTAGATTCTGTCATCAAACATTCATCCTTTTGCTAAAAACTTTGGTGCGATTTTTGACACAGATCTGAATTTTGAAAAACAGATAAGTGCTGTGGTGAAGAGCAGCTTCTTTCAACCAAGGCAAATAGCCAAATTAAAGTCTATGCTCTCGTTTAAGGATTTGGAGATAGTTACTCACGCCTTCATCACTTCCAGACTTGATTATTGCAATGCGCTTTATATGGGTCTCAATCATTCATCGCTGAATCGCTTGCAGTTGGTCCAGAACGCAGCCGCGAGGTTTCTGACTGCTACTAAGAGGGTTTCTGACTGGTACTAAGAGGAGAGAAAGCATTTCTCCTGTCCTAGCATCTCTTCATTGGTTACTGGTGCAGCATAGGATCCATTTTAATATTGTGTATAAAGCGTTAAATGATCTAGCCCCATCATAAATGTCCCAACTTCTCAGCATTCAGCAATCCTCTCGCTCTCTCAGATCCTCTGATAAACTTTTCTTGCATATACCTCGCTCTCGCTTGAAATCTAAGGGGGATCAGGCTTTTTCTGCAGCCGGTCCTCGAGTAAGGAACAGCATACCTCTGGACATTAGATCTGCGCCTTCCCTTCATGTTTTTAAATCCCGCCTGAAGACTTATCTGTATTCCTTGGCTTTTGGAT